CGCGTTTGCTTTACAGGTGTAGTGAGCATGGGCGGAGCCAAGGAGGTGGCCAGAATTTGATTGGCCACCCCTGCCGGAGTCAAAATGTTTGTCTTGTCAGTGTTAATAGATTAAAAAGAACGATGACAAATTGTTGCCTTAAATGCAATTAACCTTTTTCTGGTGCTTTATAATTGATATCGTTAACCTAGTTTTATTTTATATCATGCATGCAGCATGATATCTGCATTCATTTCTCTGACTGTGTTGTTGTGGAGTACTTGGCACGATTGATAAACCACAGCACAGCAATGATGTCCTTGGCCAAGAGTAAATAATCAGTGCAGTTAATGTTAGCTAAAGAAAGCACATTGTCTCGTTTCTACACAGAATAAACCATTTGAGTTGTAATAATGTATGATTTGTTTTTTCACAGAACTAGTTGTTTAATTTTCTTTTTACTAGGGCTGTCAAAGTGAATGCGATAATAATGAGTTAATGCAAATTCCTTTTAACACCACAAATATTTTGACTTGTGAGTAACTCACACACATTCTGTGGTTACAACCTTTGGCCAGCCCCATACTTTGGGAAATTATAAAGTGATGCAGCAGTGTGGCTGACAAGCAGAAACAAACCTCCCTGAGCAGAAATGGAAAAAGAAAAGGGTCTTTTAATGGCAAGTTTAGCTTCAAAGCCCAGCCAGATGGTTCTCTCAACAAGACCGAAGTTATTTGTGTTTACTGTCGATGTGAACTGAGTTAACACCAGAGTACATCAAGTCTCAAGTACCACCTGCTGGCCAAGCACACAGCTTATGCAGAGAGCCCTCCTCCTCCTTGCCAAAGTCGGACCACGCTGGATAGTTTGTAACGGAGACATGGACAACTTTACAAGTAACAAACCTTCAACAATGATAGCTAAATGGGTGGCTACATCTTGCAGGAAGTTTAACACTGTGAAGGACAAGGGTCTGCTTGCAATATTTCACATGACATCCAAAGACTACACGTATGAACTTCCTTCGAGAGCCACCACTGTAACCAAGATACACAGCTTGTATGAAAATGAGAAAGTTGAAGTGGAGGAGACGTTGGGACAGACAAACATGGTTGCACTCACTGGAGATTACTGGTCTTCTCTCGGTAGTCACAGTTAACTCAGGGTCCCTTTAAGTCACATTTAGCCATAGTGGTGGAAGAAGTACTCGGATCCTTTACTTAAGTAAAAGTAGCAATACAGCCAGTTGCTCTGTACTCTGCTATAACCGAGATCAAGTCCCTGAAGGAGGAAAACAAAGCTCTGAAGGAGCAGTTTGGCCTCTTGGAGCAAGCTCCGAGAGCAGCTCTGACAGACAGATGAGCTTTTTAAAAACATCACCAGAAAAAGAAGAGCTTGTACTAGAGCCCATGTGGACTGCCTGGCCCTGCTGGCAGAAAAGTGAGGCCAGCTGTGATGCTGCAGAGGCAAGTTGGTAACAGGAGCTGCATCACAAAGGGGAAAACCAGAGGAGAGCAGTGCAGGAGGTACACAAAGAGAACAAACTGCTGGCTGACGAATGGCTCAGGAAGGAGGAAGGATGGAGGAAGGAGGCAAACCAGACTGACCAGCAGATCAGCCTCCTCACCTCCAAGAAGAGAGGGCTTTGGGTACGCCGCCTCAGCTATCTTACCCACTCCTCACTCCCCTTTACCATATCCTATCCTTTACCCTCCACCTCTTACCCAACCCTTCATCCCATACCCCTACTCCAGCCCTCACTCATATCCACTCCTGAAAACAATCCCTTCACCCATTCCTTCTTGTTCATGGATTACAAATAAACATGTACAGTAAACAGTTTGTGTAAATAGTAGCTTGTGTTTACCTCTCTGAATATACTGAGAATTTAAATAAAATAGTATGAAATGATACAATCTCCAAGACAATATGCTGTAATATCAACAAAGACTGAAACAAGATGACAGCATTCCAAATCTCTGTTATGACCCTGTAGACTTGCTTTCACTCCTACACCCACACAGAATTTGTATTGGTGATAATATAGTTACAGACTCATTGGAATTGTTAATAGTCTTCTTTTGTTAGACAGTCTTGGTAGAATAATGTCAGTGGTTGGACAACTGAGTGGACCCAGCTCTCTGAGGTGACTGCCATTCCAAGCCAGTTGGGCCAGTCACTTAACCTGAGCAAATACAACGCTGATGCTGTGTGTGAAGCCACAGGTCTGCTCTTTGGGTGAGGATCAGATTCAGGGATGCTTTGTGTTAAGGGAAGGTTATGTCTAGAAAATGGTGTTGCTTACTGTGGGGCTCCGAAGCTTTGTGACGGCATGGTCTGACACCCCCCTGTTTGGGACCAAATAATGGGTAAACATCATTTAACTCATATACTGAGCTTCCATGTAAATGCTCTCCCGTTCTTTGGCACATTTAACTGTGTATTATTGACCCAGTGCTCACCAAAGGATAATCCCTTTTGTTTCATGTTATAACATTGCCTCATTACAGTCTCGTGGGGCTGCTTTTATAGATTTCTAGCCTTTCAGTCCTGTTGAAGGTGCAAACAGTGTGAGAGAACAAGAGAGACCAGTTTGTTGGAACAACTGGAAACATGTGCCCCTAAGTCACACAAAAAAATGTCTCACTTGAAATTGTGCGATCCTTCCGACAGGTGAAGACCTAGGTCTTTAATATTTCATTCCCCTAATGCAACGTATTGCGATGTGAAAGAAATATTTTTAAAATTCCTTTTTTAGTATACAATAATAAGAAAGGTAAAAAAAAATCTCTTACACTGATGGACAAGACAATCCCCCCACTGTTTTTACTGGTTCACTTGCAGCACATGCACTTTACTGATGATTGGATCTTAAAGTGTTCACAAAAATGTGACGTTATGAATTTCAACCCCATCATGCAAATATTCTTTTTTGTGTCTTGGAGGGAAAATAGTGCTGGTGTGCTCTGGCAGCACTACACCGATGATGTTAACAGAGTGCTGTGGCAGACGTGCACATTATTTTGTTTCCTGTTTTATTTGCTGTTTGCTGCATTATTCTGTTGCTGCTCTCTATTGAGATTTTGGCATAACCAGAAATACAGTAATAAATCATGGGTTTTATTTCTCATCTTATTAGTGTTAACAATAAGAAAACTGTGAAAACACTTTATAATTAAGAATTGACAATGAAATTATAATCACAATTTATGGCCAATAAAACAAGAAAATGTACCTTCTTTATGATAAATAAATACTTGTATATTTCTTAGTTTTCATCCTTCCATAATGTGTAGTTTTTGTGTATCTACATAGGAGCTTTTCTGTCATCGTACAAAGCCTGTTGTCCTCGTCACCACCATTTTTCATGTGCAGTTACATCAGCCCTGTTTTATCAGACACGCATCCACTTCCAACTCACTTTCTCACCCACATCCCTTCCCCCTGCTTTGTCTCTGTCTGATTCACTACACACACATACACACACCATCATCACCACCATTAGATGCTGGGGAAACTGTAGCCTTGAACTTGTCTAGCTCCTCCTCCCGACCAGTCCTGTGTTAGAACCACCAACCCCCAACATATTTTTCCATTTCTCCAGCTGCCTCTGCACACAGGCATTCCCTTGGCAACTGTGGTTGTGTGGTGGTGCCTGCCTAGCAACCAAAAGGCTCTCACTGCTTGTTATATGGCTTGTGGCATGTTTGAGAGGGTGGGGGGTTACAGACTGGGCTGGATGAAGATTGATCACAGACAAAAGATCTCATGTGTACCTTGCTGTTGTGGCGAAACAGGGCCAACACCTAAAGAATGTCTCTCTGTCTGTGCACAGGTGTGATGCCACCTGTTTATGCTTCCTCGTGCTTTAACAATAACATCTGTTTATATAGCTTAGGTGGATGCCATTTCCCAGCTCTGGCCTCATACTTGCACTGTGCTCTGTGAATAAAATGGATCTTTTGAAGGTGGGGCTGCTCTGTGCCTAACACAAAATCTCATCTGTGCTTCTTCTGAATGTGCAGCGTGTGGTACTACAGGAAGCACAATGGAAGAGCCTACCTCTGTAGTAACACTGCTGTGAGTGAATGAATAAATGAAAGTCAGTGAGCCATGCTCAGAAAAACACTTGGCGCCACCTGCCGTCAATTTAAAAAATAACTGAATGCTGAAAACAGAAATATTCTAGGATGCACTGATACAGGATTACAACATTCAGTCAAGTGAATCATGTTTTTATACCAAAGCTAATAATTCAGTGTATGCATTGTGGCTTTCTGGGATCCCATTATTATCAGAGTGTATTTCACAGCAACTATGTTCAGATTTGTTCTTTCCAGGTGTTAATGTACTCTGAACCTGTATCCTTCACTTCCAAATGGTCACTCAGTATCCACCGCAGCTGCTTCCATGCTAAAAATAGCTTTCCTACGGCTGACATGATAGATGACTCATGCAGTCTTGCTCCTCTCTCTGGTGCTGCCCGACACCCTGCTGCCCCCCTCAGTTCAGTAAGCTGACTGACACCAGCATGGTGAAGGGCATAAATTCAGTTCAAATCAAATCGCTTTAGCTGAAACAGAAACTTGTGATGTGTTCATACTCTTGTGGAAGGTGCCATACGTACCGTAACTCTCTCTGCAGCCCTACTGGTGCTGTGATGTAACGCAAATGGTCTTGTACAGTATATTACATGTTACTGGTTTAAAATGCAACCAATAAGTTCTAAGCAGTGATTTTATTATTGTGTATCTCATATCAGAAACTCCAGTGAGTGTAAATACTATGCTATGCTATTACAGTCTGTGCAGATTCTCAGTCATCCAGGTCATAGTAAACTGAAAAAACTTAGAAAAAATGAACTGGACTTAGATTTCTAGGTCGAAGACATTTCACCTCTCATCAGTTCTGATGAAGCCTCTTGGATGAGACCGCTTGTATGTTATTTTATTTATATGTTTTTTGGAATATAAATTATAGGCTACAATGAAGTTAGTCATGAAAGAATCATTAGTCTTCTACATAAGATGTACGTTTATTTCCAGATACAGTTCATTTGCCATTCTGAACAGTGACAACAGTCCATGGACCTTGCTATTATTAAGTAAACCAGATACAGGTATTAAAAAGCACAGTACGCTCATTTCTTTAATTACATTTGTCACACATTTAACCCAAGGTAAATTTCACAGACGACATGTCTTGTGTTAAGAGGTGAAATGGCCGTGTGTTGTCTAAGAGAAGTGTTTGTACTGAACATGGTATAATCATGTACATGTTCTTCCAATGTTTTCTGACCGACCTGTCCAGTCAAGCATTCAGAGATGTAGTGTCTTTACAATCAGAAATCAACATGATCCACATGAATCCCCTATAGTTTTGTGCTCATTGAGCATTATTTTAAAAGTCAAGCATGTTTTCTGGTATTGGTGTGCTGACCACGACACAACAAACACTGAACTAAGCTCTTCTGGTGAAAGGTGGTGTAAATAAGGTTTGTCATTTCAGAGGTGGCTGTTTATGCCACTGTGGAAATCAGCTGTTTGTGAGACCTATGGTTTCAAAAGATGTTATGTTGACTGTCTGTTAGCTTTAGCCTGGTTTTCAGCTTCGGACCCTCCACAGGTCTTACACAATCCTAGAGAGCAGCTGCTGAGAGAAGAGTCTTTTGAGCTGAGCCACTTCCCGAGACAAACAGCTGACCTGCGCCCTGAGACTGATGTCGTCTGTTGTATACTTCATGTCCCTGGAGGTCTGCAGAGAAGGGGAGTTATAACATCCAAAGGGCAGGCTCTGATGCTGCTGTCTGGGCCCACCACAGGCCTCCTCCCTGGACCAAGGAACCTGACTCTCTGTCTGACTGTCTGACCCTACCTGCAGGTGGTTCCTCACCTGGATGTTCGGCCCCACTGTGGCTACAGGAAGTCCATTGTGTCTGGTATCAGAGGATGACAACATCTCCCCTCCAGTGTTGCTCCCACCAGGGCCTTTGAAGCGGAGCTTGTGTGGCAGGCTCCTCAAACCTTTGGATGAGTCTCGTCTGTTTACACATGAACCTTCGTTGGCCTCCAGGGGATAGATGTGGGAGTTGTAGTTCTGCTGCTCTTCAGCCAGCTCCTTTGGAGAAGGCCCTCCATATTCACTCAGCGTGTCATCAAAAAACACAGGGCTGCCCTCGTGTGAACTACATGAGGTGGAAATGCTAGATTCGTCAGATACACTATGACTTGAGAGAAGCCTGGCTCCTCTCAGCCCGTAGATGGAACCCTGCTGAGTGTGAGGGGTACTGGGGTATAATGCTCCATCGGTGTGAGGCTGGTAGTAATGGGTTGCATTGGGTGGTGGATGGGCACAGAGAGATATGGACAGTGGCATGATGGACATGTCAGATGGGTCCTTGACCAGGCCAAAGTGAAACTTGAGGGCCAGCAGCTCAGCCCTCAGGCGAGCATTCTCCTCCAGCAGACCCAGGATCCGCCTCTCCAGCACCATGTCGTTAGCTCGCCGCTTCTCTCTGGACCGCTTGGCTGCTTCATTGTTTTTTCTCCGCTTGTCCCAGTAACCCTCATCTTTTTTCTCATCTGGGATGAACTCTCGTTTGCGACGTGAATTGTTGCTGTCGTTTTCACTGCAGCTACTACAAGTCTTAGCTTCAGCACTGGGGAGACTCTTCTTGTATTTGAGGGCAAAGGTGTGACCCAGGAGGGCTCCAGCCAACTGGCTTGTAGAGGTCAGGATGGAAACGGCGTCATCAGTGAAGGTCTCAGCCCTGCCCAGAGACCTGGGCTTCTCTCCCTCCACACCCAGGGGTGAGTGCACTGACAGGTCAGGGATTAAGGCATCTACAGTGTGAGTCATGTCACTTCAGGGAGCTGCAGAGTCTGTCAGGAGCTCTGAGGGTTGGAAGTTCACGGTGAAATGCGCCGTAGTGGCACCACCTACTGGTGAGAAAACAGCTACACATGATGAGGTGAAGACTTGTTTACAAGTTTGCATAACATTTAATCGACATCATACTGCCTCCAATTGAATGTTATATTTA